GCTTCTGTGTGCATGCAGACTGTGTTTGTATATTAATATTGGAGCAATGCCCAGAGGCCCCACTCAGGACTGAGAGCTCCACTGTGTTAGGGGCTGTACAAACACAATCACTGCTCCAACGAAGTGCTTTTTTTAATGTTCTTCCACCTGCAAAGCCAAACATTTTTGGGTTACTCTTACCCTAATTATACAGGTCTCAGAAAAAAGAAAAATATAACTAATTTTAGAAGTCCCATAAGTATTACCTAAAATAGCAGGGTTTTTTGTACAAAGTATTGAATTTAAGGTTGGATATATTGAGACCTTCCAGGGCTAGAAGCAAGTGCTTTGTCTCATTAGAAAACTGAGATTTGCCCCATTCCAAGGGTAATCTATGAAGTTTTTTCTCACCCTGCAGGGTCATGTTATATTGGGCCTTTTAACAGTTACAGGACTGAAGATTGCCTGTCCTGCACTTCAGACTGTATCTTGGGGGATGAAAGGAAATCATTTCTGTAACAGGTTGTTTTTAAGTGGTAGCAGCATCAAGCTGCTCAGAAGTTTACAGTGTTAGCATAGTCACGGTAAAGACGGATTAGCGAGCAGAATGTAGGCAAAGCAGTCACATTTTCTTATGATATGGATATCTCCTGGGGGGGAGGGGTGTAAGTATGTGTGTGCATCCCTACAGTGAAATGTGCAGACCATGAGAAGCTCTTACCAGATGCTGAAACAGCAGTAGATGTAGAAGTGGTAAATAGAAGACATAAAGTTCAAACCAAGGGTACGTCTATACTTCCCTCCGGGTCCGGCGGTAAGCAGTCGATCTTCTGGGATCGATTTATCGCGTCTTGTCTAGATGCGATAAATCGATCCCGGATCGATCCCGGAAGTGCTCACCGTCGATGCCGGTACTCCTCTCGCGGAGCAGGAGTACGCAGAGTCGACGGGGGAGCCTGCCTGCCGCGTGTGGACCCGCGGTAAGTTCGAACTAAGATACTTCGACTTCAGCTACGTTATTCACGTAGCTGAAGTTGCGTATCTTAGTTCGAAGTGGGGGGTTAGTGTGGACCAGCCCCAAGAGAAGAGATCTATGCAACCAGTGTGGTAGAAGAGCAGTTGAAACAAAAGCATTTTCTACGGCAGAATCCAAAATGAGGGAATTGGAGAGAAATGTCTTCAAACTTATCAGAAATAAAGACTTTCATTTTTCCCATAGTTGTGCACAGTTTTGCTTACTGGTTTTTAGTGGAAAAAGGCATTAGGGATAGTTATGATACATAGCAACCTGCTGTTAAATCATGAATAAAAAATAATGGCAAAATGTCAAGGGGATAAAACCCATGCATAATCAGCATGCCCTTACCCTAGACAGATGTTTGATATTACATCTATCCCTGATAGAGGAAAAACTCAAGGTTCTACCTTTTCAGCACTTTTGAATTCTTGTGTAACAAATAAGCTATTAGTGAAATGAATTTAAAAATTGTGTGGCTATATTGGGGCATGTATATATTTAGAATGAAATTCACCCATCCCCACGCAAAGCATGACACTTTGCATTGATAACTCAGCCAGCCTTGTGATGGAGATGAAATTCAGTAGCCTTTTTTCCACTCCTTACAGTCCATTCTTCACCCACCTTATTTGTAGATAGTGAGGGCCCCTCTTCCAACATGCAAGGGGATTAAAGGAAATGTGATGCAAGTTTCATGTTGGTGAGAGGGAATAGTGTTGCATTTGTTGCAGCAATAAATGGTCAGGGCTGGGACAAGGCTTTGAAAGTGGAAATGGAGAGGAATACATGGACTTTGATGTCTTCTTTTACTGCTTTTCCCCCCTCCTTCTTTGCACACGTTAATGCTGCTGTTAAATCCTGCTTGCTTTAACTTCAAAGTTTTGAGCCTTTGGGACAGAGAATAATGAAGTTGCCAGTGGTGAAGGAAGAAGATGGAAGCTTTAAAGATGAGACTTGGAATTAAGACACTAAACACTCTTAAAGATCCTATAGAGCTTTTACAAAGTGTGGGGGAGAGGCAGGGGTCCTGGAACAGTTTGTATAGTGGGGGTGCTGAGAGCCATTGAAGCAAACTGTAAACCCTGTACATGATGGAAACCACTTCAAGCCCGGGGATGTGGCAGCCCGCCCCTCCCTCCCATCAGCCCTAGTTCCATCACCTATGGGGAGAGGGTGTTAATCCAAGTGTCCTAATCAGATTTCAATTTGTGTATACTCTTTGTCTAGCAAACGCTTTCCCGTTGCTGCAATTTGAGAAGTTTTTCTTTTTTTTTTTGCTGGCATAGAAAGGGAGATTTTTCTGTTGGTCTGTTTCAACACAGCTGAGTTGGGGGAATTAAATATTCATAGATTCTAAGGCCAGAAGCTAATCATCTAGTCTGATAACTGTATATAACAGGCATAGAACTGCCTCCAAATAATTCCTGTTTGAACTAGATTATATCTTTTAGAAAAACATCCAGTCTTGGTTTCATAAATGCTGGTGATGAAGAATCACCACAACACTTGGAAAAGTGTTCCAATCGTTAGTTAATCTAGGGTTACCATATTCAAACATTTTAAAAAAGAGGACACTCCATGGGGCCCCGGTCCCGCCCCCGGCCCTGCCCCAACTCCGCCCCTTCCCCAGCCCCACCCCAACCCCAACCCTTCTCCGCCCCCATTCCAACCCCTTCCCCAAAGTCCCTGCCCCAACTCTGCCCCCTCCTCTGAGCACCCCGCATTCCCCCTCCTCCCTCCCGCTCTGATCTTGGTTGGGGGTTGCTAAGTGCTTCCCTGCTCCCCACTCGCCCTGCAGCCCCTATGCCCTTGCCTGCTCTGCACCCTGCAGCCTCTGCACCCCCCCGCCCCTGAAGCCTCTGTGCCCCCTGCTCCCCACTCGCCCTGCAGCCTCTGCGCCCCCTGCCTGCCCCTGCACCCCCTGCCCCTGCAGCCTCTATGCCCCTGCCTGCCCTGCAGCCTCTGCGCCCCCTGTCTGCCCTGCCCCTGCAGCCTCTGCACCCCCCCACCCCTGCAGCCTCTGTGCCCTCTGCTCCTCCTTGCCCTGCAGCCTCTGCACCGCCTGCCTGCCCTGCCCCTGCAGCCGCTGCACCCCCCTGCCCCTGCAGCCTCTGTGCCCCGTGCTCCCCACTCGCCCTGTAGCCTCTGCGCCCCCTGCCTGCCCTGCCCCTGCAGCCTCTATGCCCCTGCCTGCCCTGCTCCTCCTCGCCCTGCAGCCTCTGTGCCCCCTGCCTGCCCTACCCCTGCAGCCTCTGCACCCCCCCACCCCTGCAGCCTCTGCTCCCCCCGCCTGCCCTGCCCCTGCAGCCTCTGCTCCCCCACTCACCCGGCAGAGGGAGAGCTGCGGGCTCCACGTGGAATCAAACACTACCGCGCTGCTCTGTGGGGGAGGAAGGAGCGGGGAAGGGGGAGGGACTCTGGCTGCTAGAGGCCCTAGTGGCTGCGAGCGGCTTTCAATCAGGCCAGGCGTCCAATCAGCTGCGCCGCACTCCGGATGAGGGGAAGGGGGAAATCCCGGACATTTCTACTTGATTAGAAATCTCCCCCCCGGACGGCCATTTAACACTGAAAAAGCCGGACATGTCCGGGGAAACCCGGACGGATGGTAACCCTAGTTAATCTCCCCTGATAAAAACTTACACCTTATTAGATTTTATCACATTGAAAATGTTTAACAAAGTTCATGTTTTTGAACCTTCTGTGTTGAATACCCCTACAGGCTTGTCAAGTGAATGTTGATTAATTGTTGGGATGACAGAAGCTTAGAAATGAGACCTGGCATAGTTGCACATAGTTTGATACTTACTTTGCAGATTCTGAAATGTTAATATGCTTCCACTGTCAAAGACTAAAGGTCAGATTGTGCCTGGTCCCTGTATAATACACAAGGAAAGCTTCCAACCTTCCATTGTGCCTGGCCCCTGTGGAGAGAACAGAGGTGAAAGTAAGCTGGTATGGCGTACCGGACCGAACCAGCTTCCCCAGGCTGGTGCTTTAAAGGGCCCGGGGCTCCCTGCAGCGGCCGGAGCCCTGCTGCCGCTACCCTGGGGCTCAGGCGGCGGGACTTGGGTGGTGCTTTAAAGGGCCCGGGGCTCCTGCCGCTGCGGGGAGCCCTTTAAGGCGCCGCCCGAGCCCTGCCGCTGCTACCCCCGGGGCTCCTGCCGCTTCGGGGAGCCCCAGCCCTTTAAAGTGCCGCCCGAGCCCTGCCGCCTACACAGGGGCTCAGGCAGCAGGGCTCGGACAGTGCTTTAAAGGGCCTGGGGCTCCTGTCACTGCGGGGAGCCCCGGGCCCTTTAAAGCGCCGCCTGAGCCCGGCTGCCAGAGCCCCAGGGTAGGGGTAGTGGCAGGGCTCCAGCAGTGCTTTAAAGGTCTCCCCATAGTGGCAGGAGCCCCGGGCCCTTTAAATCGCCCCTTAGCTCCGGGGTTTCCAGCCGCCTCTGCAGCTGGAAGCTCGGGGGGTTATTTAAAGGCCCTGGGGCTCCCAGCCGGAGCCCCGGGGCCTTTAAATCTTGATTTAAAGGCCACGCCTCTTCCGTTTGAGGCCAGGCCCCCACTCAGGACTCTGGCGTACCGGTAAGTCCTTTAAGTTACTGTCACCCCTGGGAGAGAATGCAAGTCCTTACACTCGGAAAGCGCAAAGATTTCACTGAGCTAGTACTGCTGCTGGAGCTGTTCACTGCAAATAGGGCTGAGAAAGGAGTGAGGCAAAACTACTGGACAAGTGATGAAGGGGAGTACTTACTGAATCCTCCAAGGGGTGGCACAGCATTTCCAAGCAATATTATTTGTGCCTCCTTGAGGCACAAACCAGCAAAGAGCTCTTGCAGCCACAGGGCTTTTTCTCCATTGCTCCTGGAGCAAGACAAAGATTAAATGTCACAGTGGATCCTTGTACACATTAGTAAGTGTGAGCAGAATTAATTGAATTTGAATGTACTTGCTTTTTCTTTTAAATCTGAAACATTTAATAAAGGAAATACTCACTCTAATCTTATTCATTCAGGTATTTATCTCTCTGACTTGACGTATATTGACTCCGCATACCCATCTACAGGGAGCATTCTGGAAAGCGAGCAGAGATCAAATTTAATGAACAACATACTTAGAATAATCTCAGATTTTCAGCAGTCCTGTGAATATGGTAATCTAGCTCATTTATTTCTTTTGCAGTATTACTGAGGGCAACTAATAAAATAAAAATGTTCATCTTCTACCAAGCTGTTATTTAATAAGTCTTAACCAATTAATGTACCATTCCCATCTAAAACCATAAACCTTATTAAAACCAAATTCTGGAATTGTTGGGTTATCTCTCCTGTCAGCAGGCAAAGATAGAATGAGACTTACTTATCCTCTATTTATCTCTTCTGTATTTTCAAAATGCATGCTGTGAAGATCTGGCCTTCCTTGGGTGCAGGGGAGGTCAGCCCAGGCATGGTTATGGATGAGGGGGAACAAAAAACTGCAAAACAGTGGTGAGGGATCATTGTATTTTATGGCCCCAACTAAAGACAACAAGAGAAATATCTGCTTGTATGCAGATGTTTTCAAGAAACTCCCTTTGTCTAACGATGAATGACATAGTGATAACTGATATATTGCCTCTTCTCTAGATATTCCTCTGTTGCCTCATGTCCAAAAATACTTGAACTCAGTTCAATACATAGAAGAGCTACAAAAGTTTGTGGAAGATGACAATTACAAGTAAGTATAAAATTCTACAACTGACTAGGTAACCTTTTATTTTTCCTTCTAAAAAAGTGAGTTTTATGTAACAGAAACCTTGAATACAATAATGAGCAGGCAAGAGACCCTGCTTTCATTTAGGTAAATGAATCCAACCTCAACGCTGCCACTCTCTTACTTCCATAAGTGTCTCTTTCTTTACTATAAGGAGACTGAGAAGAAATTGGAGTTAGAAAATAAGCAACAGTAGTCGTGACGTAAATTTTTCCTTTAAACATTTTATTTTATGTTATTGTTTGAGGGATAGATATTTAAGAAAATTAAACATTAAAGTTGGAAAAAATCCAGTATAGTATCTTTACTCTGCTGTAAAACTGCAAAATGCTGTTGAAGGCAGAAAGTAAACAAACTGATCAGAGTAGAGATTTTTTTTTTCATTACTCTATTTCAGTAATTTTAGGTGTTGTAACAATAGAAAGAATTAAAAATGCAGAGTGGAATGTTTTTTTATTTGGAAAACCCTTTAAGCATAATAGAAGGGATACAGAAGTAGACAATGAAAATAACAGGCATGGAGAGACTTGCATATGAGGAGAGAGTGGAAAGATGGAACTGTTTGGAGAGGAGATATAAAGTAATAAAGATATACAAAGTAATGAATGGTATAGCGAAGGTAAACTAGGCACTCCTCTTTACACTTTTTCATATAAGTACTAAGGTGTATCCGATAGAATGGAAAGAAATACATTTACATTTGATAAAAGGAAATTACATTTTATACAACACTTAATTAACCTGTGTAACTCATTTGCCACAAGATATAATTGATTCCAAGACCTTAGCAAAATTCCAAAAAGAACTGCATGTATCTAAGTAACTATAGAACATCCATAGGTTTATGGGAGAGATTAAAAATTATAAGGGATATAAATCCTCATGCTTCGGGGCATAAGCCAATCATTGGTGATAGCTAGAAAGAAAATTCCATGGAATTCCAAGGAAGCTATTCTATAATTGTTCATTAGAGATTCTTGCACCTTCTTGTGAACCATCTGGTGCTGACCACAGTCGGAGATTAGATATTGGACTAGAAGATATAGTGAATTGGTCCAAAGTAGCGATTCCTATCTTCATTTTATCGACTAGGCGAAGTCAATGGAGTCATGTGGTTTAACTGAATAAGGAATATGATTTTAGCAGTGCATATGCCTTTGTATACTGAGAAAATTGTGGAGATAATAACTTTAGTCTCTTCAAGGTGAAAGGAGATGGCCATTACTACTTTGAGAAAACCAATTGATACTTAAATCTTGTAGCATTTTCTTTCTCTTCAAAGGAAAACTACCCCTTTTCTCTGACAGGTGAAGGGTCAGAAAGGTAACTATCTACAATTAAGATAGTTACTTAAAATTAAGTCTCAGAAGAAAAAGTACTTAAACAGTTTCCTTTTTCATGAAGCTGTATTGAACTGGTAATTTTAAAATGTTAACAATATTGTATAAATTATTCCTGTGGCTAACAAACCTTTAAACTTTTATTTTCTAAAAAGTTCTTCCTAACTTCCTGTTAATTTAAAAATGGTCAATTCATCAAAATGTTCAGCAAAAAGCAGTTTGCAGCTTTCCAATAGTATTGAAGACATCATGGAAAAGTAAACAGCTTGAATTATTAACCCAGTCAATATGATTATATATTGTATCAAAAATCTACAGAAGGATATTTCATTTGTTTTTAAAATAGTAGAGCACATTTCACTGGTGATGTTTACCCCTTCACATAACATATGAACAAGGATCATCCAGTGAAATTAATAGGTAGCAGTTTAAAACAAACTCGTGGAAGTACTTCTTCCCACAACGCTCAGTTGACCCGTGGAACTCATTGCCAAGGGATGTTGTGAGGGCCAAAAGTATATCTGATTCAAAAAAAGAATTAGATAAGTTCATGGAAGATAGGTCCCTCAATGGCTATTAGCCAAGATGGTCAGGGATGCAACTCCATGCTTTGAGTGTGTCTACCCCTCTGACTACTAGAAGCTGGAACTGGAAGATGGGGTGGATCACTTGATAAATTTGTCGTCTTCTGTTCACTCCCTCTGAAGCATCTGGCACTGCCCACTGTCGGAAGACTGCGTACTGGGCTAGACGGATCATTGATCTGACCCAGTGTGGCCATTCTTATGTTCTTATTGGTTAAAATTTATAGGGCAGGGGTTCTCAAACTGGGGGTCGCGACCCCTCAGGGGGTCGTGAGGTTATTACATGGGGGATCGCAAGCTGTCATCCTCCATCCCAAACCCCGCTTTGCCTCCAGCATTTAAAATGGTGTTAAATATATAAAAAAATGTTTTTAATTTATATGGGGGGGGTCGCACTCAGAGACATGCTATGTGAAAGGGGTCACCAGTAAAAAAGTTTGAGAGCCACTGTTACAGGCCACTGTTACAGAACAAATTAAAACAGAGGATAACAAATGGTTTTGCCTATTGTGACTCCTGCACGTGCCTTTTTCTTTTCATCACTGCTGTAGAAAGCAGAACATCAAGTACAATAAATATAAACTTAGGTTAAGTTAAAAAAAAAAAAAAAAAAAAAAGTGGGTTGGTTGTTGCCCCCTTTTAATTGCTAGTGAGTGATATGCATATCTGAAATTTCTCATATGTGCATAGCCTCTCTTACACTTGTGATAGCAAAACTTCTTGCAGCATAAGCCAACAAATATTTTAGCTTTCAAAGCTTTACATTAAAACACTTCAGGTTCCTGATAAATTAACACTTTAACTTCTATTCCTTTTTTAATGCAGGCTTTCATTAAAGATAGAGCCAGGAACCAGCACCCCTCGTTCTGCTGCTTCCAGAGAAGATTTAGTAGGTAAATGCTTACTTACCAGAAGACATCAAAATTTGAAATCCATTCTCCACTGCCTTTGAGTTACTAGTACAAAAAATATTTTCCTAAAAGTGAAGTGCGATAAAAGATTTACAAAACGTATTTGTCATAAAAATTCTAAATTTGTTCTGTAAGTAGACTCTTGTTGTCATAGGAAACTGAGTCAGTTCCTTGGTTTAAATATGAAATTTAACTTTAAATTTAAATATTCATTGTCTGCCATGTCACACTAAATAACTTCATATTTGCTGTTTTCCCTCTTAAATACCTTTTCTTTCTTGGAACAATTACCTGTCAAAGGTGTATATCTTGTTTGATCTGCAGCATACAAGATGTACATTTAAAAATGTTTTATGGTGGGATTTTCAAGAGTCTATGGGACTTAGGAGCACAAGTTCAAATATTTTCAATGGGACTTGTGCTCCTAATTCACTTGGGTGCTGTTGAAAATCTACTATGTCTACACGACGAAATTACTCCAATTTTACAGAAGTCGATTTTTGGGAACAGATTGTATAAAGTCGAGTGCACGCATCCACACTAAGCACATTAATTCGGCAGTGTGCGTCCATAGAACCGTGGCAAGCGTTGACTTTCGGAGCGGTGCACTGTGGTAGCTATCCCAAAGTTCCCGCAGTCCCCGCTGCCCACTGGAATTCTGGGTTGAGCTCCCAATGCCTGATGGGGCCAAAAATCTGTCACGGGTGGCTATGGGTAAATGTCGTCAGTCAACCCCCTCTCCCACCCCCCCATGAAAGCAACGGCAGACAATCATTTTCCACCCTTTTCCCTGGATTGCCCGAGCAGACACCATAGCACGGCAAGCATGGAGCCCGTTCAGCCTTTTTTCACTGTCACCGTATGTCTACTGGATGCTGCTGACAGACGCGGTGCTACAGTGCTACACAGCAGCAGCTGCAGCTCCTTGCCTTTGCAAGTTAGCAAAGATGGTTACCAGTCATACTGTACCGTCTGCTGCTGTCATGGGTGCTCCTGGCCGGCCTCTGTGAGGTCGGTCGGGGGCGCCTAGACAAAAATGGGAATGACCCCCAGGTCATTCTCTTCTTTAAGTTTTGTCTAATAGAGATTCAGTGCTGCCTAGAATATCAGGCAAGCCTACTAAAGAACCACAGATGCAAGCAGCCGCTCCGGGTCAGAGCCCCAGACATCCCGCAGAAATGGTGAGCTGCATGCCATTCTAGGGGGTGCCCGTACAACAACCCCACCCGTTGCTTCCCTCCTCCCCCACCCCTCCCGGGTTACATTGGCAGTTATCCCCCCATTTGTGTGATGAAGTAATAAAGAGTGCATGAATTTGAAACAACACTGACTTTATTGCCTCTGCAAGCAGAGATCAAAGGGGGCAGGGGAGGGCGGTTGGCTTACAGGGAAGTAGAGTGAACCACCATTCTGCACTTGCTCAGCCTATAGTCTGTCCATCATGGCCTTGGAGATTTATCCGAGTTCAGATTGCTGTCCAGAGCGGTCACAGTGGTGCACTGTGGGATAGCTCCCGGAGGCCAATACAATCAACTTGCGTCCACACTAACCCTAATTCGAACCGGCAATGTTGATTTCAGCGCTACTGCCCTCATCGGGGAGGAGTACAGAAATCGATTTTAAGAGCCCTTTATGTCGACAAAAATGGCTTCGTTGTGTGGACGGGTGCAGGGTTAATTCGATTTAATGCTGCTAAATTCGACCTAAACTCGTAGTGTAGACCAGGCCTTAGACTGAAAGTACAATTATTTCTTTAAAATAACTGCTCCTAATATATTATAAAAGAAATGCTATTAAAGAAGACATCTGGTTAACTAGCAAAAGGTTCAGCCTATGTAAGGAACTGGTGTAACCACAGGTCAGGGCCTGTGAGCCAATTTACCCTCTGAAATAATGCACATTTAGTTTAGAAATAAACTTTTTCAACATTACACATTTTTACAGGAAAATTATTATTATTAAAATTTAGCTTGAGGGTATGCAGTAAGAGAAAATGCTGTGGTACATAGAATCTTAGAAATGTAGGGCAAGAAGGGACCTTGAGAAATCATCTAATCCAGCCTCCTGCACTGAAGCAGGACCAAGTATACCTATACTGTCTCTGACAGGTGTTTATCAAACCTGTTTTTAAAGATCTCCAATGACAGCTATTCCACAACCTCCCTTAGTAGCCTGTTCCAGTGCTTAGCTATCCTTATACAGTAGAACCTCAGAGTTACAAACACTTCGGGAATGGAGGTTGTTCGTAATTCTGAAATGTTCGTAACTGAACAAACGTTATGGTTGTTCTTTCAAAAGTTTTCAACTGAACGACTTAATACAGCTTTGAAACTTTACTATGCAAAAGAAAAATGCTGCTTTCCCTTGATTTTTTTTTTGTCGTTTACATTTAACACAGTACTGTACTGCATTTGCTGCCTTTTTTTTTTTTTGTTTTTTGATCATTTCTGCTGCCTGATTGCATACTTCCAGTTCCAAATGAGGTGTGTGGTTGACTGATGTGTTCGAAACTCTGAGGTTCTACTGTAGTTAGAAATATTTTCATGCTGTCTAACCTACATCTCCCTTGCTAGCTAACCTAAATCTCCAGATTAAACCCATTACATCTTGTCCTATGTTTAGTGGACATGGAAAACAATTTATCACCGCTGTCTTTATAACAACCCTTAACATATTTGAAGTCTTATCAGGTTTCCCCTCAGTCTTCTTTTCTCAAGACTAAATATGCCCTTTTTTTTTTTTTAAACCTTTTATCATTTTTTGTTGCTCTCCTCTGGACTCTCCAGTTAGTCCATATCTTTCCTAAAATGTGGTGCTCAGAACTGGACATAGTACTCCAGCTGAGTCCTCACCAGTGCCAAGTAGGCAGGACAGTTACCGCCTATTAATATACGCCCAAACAATATTAGCCTTTTTACCCACTGCATCACATTGTTGACTCGTATTCCGTTTATGATCCACCATAACCCCCAAATCCTTTTCAGCAGTACTACTGCCTAACCAATTATTGTCCATTTTGTAGTTGTGCATTTGTTTTTTTTCTTCCTGAGTGTAGTACATTGCACTTTATTGAATATCATCATGTTGATGATATTGTCCAATTTGTGAGTCATTTTGAAGCTCTTGCCACCCCTCCCAGCTGGTGTCATCCAAAAATTTTAGAAGGATACTCTCCACTCCATTATCTAAATAATTAATGAAAATATTGAATGGTACTGGACCCAGGACTGACCCCTGCCAGACCCCACTAGATACATCCTCCCTATTTGGCAGCAAACCATTGATAACTACTCTCTGAATACAGCCTTTCAACCAGGTTTGGAACTACCGTGTAGTAATTTCATCTACACCACATTTTCCTAATTTACATATAAGAATGTCATGTGGAACTTTCTCAGAAGCCTTACTAAAATCAAGATATATCATGTCTACATCTTTCCCGCTATCCACTAAGCCAATAACCCTGTCAAAGAAGGAAATCAGGTTGGCGTGGTATGATTTGTTCTTGACAAATCCATGCTGGCTATTATGTACAATCCTGTTATTCTATAGGTGCTTAGAAAATGATTGTTTAATAATTTGTTCCAGTATTTTTCCAGGTATCAAAGTTAAGCTGCTGGTGTATAGTCCCCTGGGTCCTCTTTGTTCCCCATTTTAAAGATAGGTACTATGTTTGCTCTTCTCAGTTCTCTGGGACCTCATGCATCCTCCATGTGTTCTCCAAGATAATTACTAGCATATGTGTCTCTAAGGTTACAGGATACATTAAAAAAATTGTATTTGGGTAATCATAGAGTTGCAGGACTAGAAGGGACCTTGAGAGGTCATCTAGTCCAGTCCCCTGCACTCATGGCAGGACTAAATATTATCTAGACCATCCCTGTCCGGTGTTTTTCTAACCTGCTCTTAAAAATCTCCAACTATAGAGTTTCCACAACCTCCCTAGGCAATTTATTCCAATGCTTAACTACCCTGAGAGTAAGGAAGTTTTTCCTAATATCCAACCTAAACTGCCCTTGCTGCAATTTAAGCCCGTTGCTGCTTGTCCTGTCCTCAGAGGTTAAGGAAAACAATTTTTCTCCCTCCTCCTTGTAACAATCTTTTTTATACTTGAAAACTGTTATCATGTTCCCGCCCCCCTCCCCCCCCAGTCTTCTCTTCTCCAGACTAAATAAACCCAATTTTTTCAATCTTCCCTCATAGGTCATGTTTTCTAGACCTTCAATCATTTTTGTTGCTCTTCTCTGGACTATTTCCAATTTGTCCAGATCTTTCCTGAAATGTGGTGCCCAGAACTGGACACAGTGCTCCAGTTGAGGCCATATCAGTGCAAAAGAATTACTTCTCATGTCCTGTTAGAACACCCCTGCTAATTCATCCTGGAATTAATTTTTTTTTCTTTTCAATAGTGTTACGTTGTTGACTCATATTTAGCTTGTGATCCACTATGACTAGGGCCCTACCAAATTCACGGTCCATGTTGGTCAATTTCACAGTCATAGGATTTTAGAAATCAAGCCACGCTCTCCAGCCACCAAGCTCTGAAGACTGCCACCCATACTTCTGTGCTATACCATGACACCCCTACAATAACCTTGCGAACCCCTCCCCCACACAACCCTCTTTTGAGTCAGGACCCCGTTTGAGAAATGCTGATCTTCCCTGTGAAATCTGTATAGTATAGGGTAAAAGTACACAAAAGACCAGATTTCACGGTCTGTGACACATTTTTCACAGCTGTGAATTTGGCAGGGCCCTAACTGTGACCCCAGATCCCTTTCTGCAGTACTCTTTCATAGGCAGTCATTTCCATTTTGTATGTGTGCAACTGATTGTTCCTTCCTAAGTAGAGTAATTTGCATTTGTCCTTACTGAATTTCATCTTATTTACTTCCGACCATTTCTCCAGTTTGTCCAGACCATTTATAATTTTAATCCCATTCTCCAAAGCACTTGCAACCCTCCCAGCTTGGCATCGTCCGCAAACTTTATAAGTGTACTTTCTATGGCATTATCTAAATCATTGATGAAGATCTTGAACAGAACTGGGCCCAGAACTGATCCCTGCAGGACCCCCCTCAATATTCCCTTCCAGCTTTACTGTGAACCACTGATAACTACTCTCTGGGAATGTTTTTCCAACCAGATAAGCACCCACCTTATAGTAGATCCCCCACTTGGTAAGGCAACTCCATTTTTTCATGTGCTGTATATTTATACTTGCCTACTGTATTTTTCACCCCATGCGTCTGATGAAGTGGGTTATAGCCCACGAAAGCTTATACCCAAATAAATTTGTTAGTCTCTAAGGCAGGGGCGGGCAAACTTTTTGGCCTGAGGGCCGTATCGGGTTTCAGGAATTGTATGGCTGGCTGGTTAGGGGAGGCTGTGCCTCCCCAAACAGGCAGGCGTGGCCTGGCTCCCACCCCCTATTCTCCCCCCCCACACACTTCTTGCCCCCTGACGGCCCCCTGGGACTCCTGCCCCATCCATCCCCCTGCTCCCTGTCCCCTGACCGCCCCTAACTTCCCACCGCCCCATCCAACACCCCCTCTCCTTCCTGACTGCCCCCCAGGGACCCCTGCCCCATCCAACCACCCCTTCTCCCTGGCCCCTGACCACCCCCGGAACCCCCACTCCTGACTGCCCCCAGCTGCCCCATCCAACCCCTCCTCTCATTCCTGACTGCTCCCCAAAAACCCCTGCCCCATCCACCCCCCCTGCTCCCTGACCCCCACTGGAATCCCTGCCCCTGACTGCCTCCCGTCGCCCCATCCAACCCTTCCTGACTGCCCCCCTCCCGGGACCTCTGCCCCATCCAACCACCCTTCTCCCTGACTGCCCCCGGAACCTCTGCCCCCATTCAACCCCCCTGTTCCCTGCCCTCTGACCGCCCTGAACCCTATCCACACGCCCGGCCCCTGACCACCCCCTGAACTCCCCTGCCCTCTATCCAGCCCCCCTCCCCCGCTCCCTGGCCCCTTTACTGCGCTGCCTGGAGCACCATGACAGACAGCCGCACCGCCCGGCTGGAGCCAGCCACGCACCGCGCAGCACAGAGCACCGGGTCAAGCCGGGTTCTGCAGCTGCGCTGCCCCAGGAGCTCGCCGACCAGAGCATTGCGCCAGTGGCTCAGTGAGCTGAGGCTGCGGGGTAGGGGGAACAACAGGGGGCTAGTCTCCCAGGCCAGGAGCTCAGGGGCTGGGAAGAACGATCCCACGGGCTGGATGTGGCCCGTGGGCTGTAGTTTGCCCACCTGTGCTCGAAGGTGCCACAAGGACTCCTTGTTGTTTTTGCTGATACAGACTAACACGGCTACCCCTCTGAAATCTATCTCCATCTAGGTTGTATTTCCCTAGTTTGTTTATGGGAAGGTCATGGAAGATAGTATCAAAAAGCTTAGTGAAGTCAAGATATACTGCATCTACCGCTTCCCCCCATCCACAAGGCTTGTTACCCTGTCAAAGAAAGCTATTAGGTTGGTTTGACACAATTTGTTCTTGACAAATCGATGCTAGCTGTTACTTATCACCTTATTATCTTCTAGGTGTTTGCAAATTGATTTTTTAATTTATTTTCTCCATTATCTTTCTGGGTATAGAAGTTAAGCTGACTGGTCTGTAATTCCCCGAGTTGTCCTTATTTCCCTTTTTTATAAATGGGCACTATATTTGCCCTTTTCCAGTCCTCTGGAATCTCTCCCATCTTCTGTGACTTTTAGAAGATAATCGCTAATGGCTCAGATATCTACTCAGTCAGCTCCTTGAGTATTCTAGGATGTATTTCATCAGGCCCTGGTGACTTGAAGACATCTAACTTATAGAAATAATTTTTAATTTTTTTGTTCCCTATTTTAGCCTCTGATCCTACCTCATTTTCACTGGCATTCACTATGTTAGATGTCCAATCTTTACTAACTTGTTTGGTGAAAAATGAAACAAAAACGTTATCTAGCACTTCCACCATTTCTACATTTTCTGTTGCTTTTTCCCCACTGACTGACTAACGGGCCTATCCTGTTCTTGGTCTTCCTCTTGCTTCTAATGTATTTGTAAAATGTTTTGTTGTTACCCTTTATGTCTCTAGCTAGTTTAATCTCGTTTTGTGCCTTGTGTTATTTGTTTATATTCATCCTTTGTAATTTGACCTAGTTTCTGCTTTTTGTAGGACTCTTTTTTGAGTTTCAGATCATTGAAAATCTCCCGGTTAAGCCAGCGTGGTCTTTTGCCATGCTTCCTATCTTTCCTATGCAGTGGGATAGTTTGCTCTTGTGCCCTATATAATATCTCTTTGAAAAACTGGGCGCTCTCTTGAACTGTTTCTCCCCTTAGACTTGCTTCCCATGGGATCTTACCTACCAACTCCCCGAGTTTGCTAAAATCTGCCTTCTTGAAATCCATTATCTTTATTGTGCTGTTTTCCCTCCTACCATTCCTTAGAATCATGAACTCTACCATTTCATGATCACATTCATCTAAGCTGCCTTCCACTTCCAAATTCTCAACAAGTTCCTCCCTATTTGTCAAAATCAAATCTAGAACAGCCTCTCCTGTAGTAGATTTCTCCACCTTCTGAAATAAAAAAAAACTGTCTCCAATACATTCCAAGAACTTGTTGGATAATCTGTGCCCTGCTATGTTGTTTTCCCAACAGATGTCTGGGTAGTTGAAGTCCCCCTTCACCACAGAGTCCTAAGCTTTGGATGATTTTGTTAGTTACTTAAAAAAAGCCTCGTCCACCTCTTCTTCCTGCTTAGGTGGTCTGTAGTAGACCCCCTACCATGACATCACCCTTGTTTTTACCCCTTTTATCCTTACCCAGAGATTTTCAACCAGTCTGTCTCCTATTTCCATCTCAGCCTTAGTTGACATGATCTTCCACAGTTTCCTTAAAGACACTATTTTAGTGTATACAAGCAAAGGAACAGAATTAAGGTGGTGATTGGAATCTTGAATCTGAATTTCCTGATCTTTGTGCAATGAAATAGCAAAGTTAATATTTTGTAAGGAATCTTATCTATCAAGAAATCAGATTGGGCACCATTGCATCCAAAACCAGTAAGGCTACCTATTAAGCTAAAGTTGAATCTGCTTCTCCTGTTTTATTTGTGGCTTTAAGACACCTATCTAAAGAACAAAAGATATGTAAATGTGCTATACAGTATGTCTACACTGCAATTGGCTTCTACCAGTTGACTCAGGCTCACGGGGCTTGAGCTAAGGGGTTGTTTAAGGGCTTGAGCTGCAGGGCTTGAGCTAACGAGTTGTGTAGACATTCAGGCTTGGGCTGCAATCCTGGCTGTAGGACCCTGCAAGGTGGGAGGGTCCCAGACCTGAGTGTCTATACCTCAATTAAACAGCCCCGCAGCACAAGCCCTGTGACCCCGAGGAAGCTGGCATGGACCAGGTGCAGGTTTTTAACTGCAGTGTAGACATACCCATCAATTCCTATACAGCCAGTTTCTCCATTCCCAACAGACTTGACCTGGCTCTGCTTTGCCTTTGTAATGCTCCAGGTTTTTTAACAGATTTATTATTTTAATAAGAATAAATAATATTATTTTAAAATGACATAGAATAATAAAATTTATGGTTGCTTCCCTCTCTGTGTCATGGAGAAAAAGCCCTTTTATTTCACAATGATGTTAGGAGGAATAACTACTTAATGGTAAAACTATGTTATAAAGATGAAAAGGTTAAGATCAAAAGAAACCTTTTCCTTATTCCTTTTAGATGCTTCCTTTGTATCAGAGTATGCCAAAAGACACATTACTTGTCTAATGGGAATGTATAGTATAATGGTTTGACTTTTTAAAAGACTCAAATGTTTATATTCTTATTGCTTTTTTAACAATACACCTCTACCCCGATATAACGCTGTCCTCGGGAGCCAAAAAATCTTACCGTGTTATAGGCGAAACAGTGTAATATCGAACTTGCTTTGATCCTCCGGAGAGCGCAGCCCCGCCCCGCCGGAGCGTTGCTTTACCGCGTTATATCCGAATTCGTGTTATACTGAGTCGCGTTATATCGGGGTAGAGGTGTAATTATCAGCTCCTCTTAAACTGAATTTTAATTTTGTACTTTAGCAAGATCCTGCAGTATTTTCTCAGAAAGAATCTTATACAATTTTTAGAAAGATATGAACCTTGTGGTGTTGGGGTTTTTTTTGGAGGGCTGATAAATAGCATTTGAAATAGTCACACTGGTATTTCTCATGCTCAGTTGGAATTTTCTATTTTTCCTTTGCTCACAGGCTCTGAAGTGGGAGCATCTCCACAAAGTGCACGGAAAAATGTTGCAGCTGAAGGAGCATTGCTCCCACCAACTCCCCCATCACCTAGGAACCTGATACCACATGGGCATAGGAAATGTCACAGCTTGGGATACAAGTCAGCATTTTATTTACTTTTACGAGTTTGAGCATTTACATATTGGACTGTCTTCTGACAACAAAAGCTTTTGCTTTAAAAAGTGAAGTATTTAATTAGCAATCTTTCTATATAAAGACCACAAAACACAGCTCATATTCTGGAAGGAATTTATGCAAGAAACAGGGTTTGTCCATTCGTTAATCAGTTTTTTTTAACTTGCATTATGATGTCTTACTGCTTGCCTCTGAAAAGTTGTGTTCCTTACAGCTCGCCTTCTGTGAGTGAGTCTGACTCAGGAAACGATGAACCAGATCTTCCTCAGTTAGAGTACCTGACCTGGATTTCCTCATTGCACACTTAACATAAAATTGCTTTTTAAGTAAAAATAAAAAAGGTCCTGATACTTATGTGATTTAAGAGCTTGCATGGATTGCATCTTGTTACCTGCAGCAATTTGGGTTTCCTTTATTTTTTGAATTTGCAAGAGCAGATCCCATGAGATTCCAAATCTGCCAAGTACAATATGATTGCTTAGAACCAGAGCACCTTTCTCTATGTGAAGCTGAAATAATTCTGTCTCACAAGTTTGCTCATTTAGTATGGTACTTCAAGTAGTAGATTTTTAATATTTTTTTAAGCAAGTGGTGTTTAGTTCCTTTTTAATCAGTTATCCTTCTAATTAATATTCTCCTTTCCCTTGTGCCTTCCATAAATTACACCTGAAAGGAATTGAGTCCATAACTAAGTGCATCCAGTTTTTATTGTTTTGAGATGAACTAATTATCTCCAATTGTATGAGACATGTTGAATTATTTCTTTCTGTAAACTTGCTTGCATGAAATTTAACCTCTACAATTGCTGTTTAAAGAAGAAAAACATCCTATACATGCAATGAAGTCCCCTCTATCCCAAAAGAATGGAGAGAAAAAAACTTTTTGTTTTGGACTTTTGTGCTCCTTAATTTTGTAACAGGCAAACACACTTTAGTGGGACTGTCAATTTAAAAGTTGTGGTAAAGCCATTCTCAGATTTGTTCTGTCCTAACAGAACTCTAAAGCAGGGGTCGGCAACCTTTCAGAAGTGGTGTGCCGAGTCTTCATTTATTCACTCTAATTTAAGGTTTCGCGTGTCAGTAATACATTTTAACGTTTTTAGAAGATCTCTTTCTATAAGTCTATAATATATAACTAAACTATTCTTGTATGTAAAGTAAATAAGGTTTTAAAAATGTTTAATAAACTTCATTTAAAATTAAATTAAAATGCAGAGCCCCCTGGACCGGTGGCCAGGACCCGGGCAGTGTGAGTGCCACTGAAAATCAGCTCGCGTGCCGCCTTCGGCACGCGTGCCATAGGTTGCCTACCCCTGCTCTAAAGGAACCACGTAGACTTTATTATATATATACTTTACCAAATATTGGTACACAGCACTGTATCTCCAAGACTCACATTAATGGCAACTCGAGTCACAGAGCCAAATCTCTGTGCACTGCACTGGAAATTTATCCCAAATGATTGACTGGTTTCAGAACTTCTTCTAGCTCAGTAGTCTCTAGCAATAACAATGTTTACCTACAGAGAAATGATAAACTGCTAATTTCATTTTTTCTTCGAACGCTCCTTTTGTGTATTCATAGTTCTTGAAGAGCTGAGATTTGTCCTGTTAGCTTCTGAGATTCATGGCAGTAGCTCTAACAGAGCTTATAATGAGAAGTTAGCTACTATGTGTTCGTGTACCCATTATAGCTCAAGACTTCTGTGTAGAGTTGTATGGGACAGGATCTGTACTTTTCTGTATCCTTAGGCAGTTCTGAATTCCACATGAACTTAAAATATGGAGCTCTGTGTAGAATGTTACTTTTAGAGAACAATAGTTATACAGGTAAGGAATTCTACACTACAGTGAGAATACCAGTCTCAATGGATTCCTACACACTGGCTCTTGCATCTGTGGGAAGAGCTGGCAGGAACTCAGAAGTTCTAGCTGTCAGAATCAACTGGTGTTGGTTTGCTCTCCCCAATGCTCTGATGAGCTGTGATTGACTATTGTTCATGAAGGAGTTCCCCTGGCACTGCAGACCATTAATCAGTAACACTTGTCCCATGTCAGCATAAAGTTTCTCAGTTTTGACTTCTGTTTCCCAGTGTACCCTTTACTATAGTCTCTAGTCAGTCTCTAATTAAAACATTTGGATATTTTTTTTTTAATAGAGGCATTTTCCACCAAGATACCTATTGAGTTTTGACATTCCAATGTGCTATTACCCCCTTCTGCTCCACTCTGAGCTAGATATGGTCCAATTGCATCGTTGACACTCTGGCCTTTGGTCTGTTTACATCATTCTTTTAGAGAAGCAGATTCATTCTTCCTTCATGAAGCATTTGATTTAAAAAAAAAAAATATTGAAAGTCCAATAAAAATCATGGAGTTTTTATTTGCTCTTTCATATTGACTACTCTTAAAAACCCATGCAGAAAAACTTCTAGACCAGCTTTATATCTCACATGCCACTTACCTTTTGCTGAGGCAGATAGTCAACTTCCTTTTAACCTATAATTAAATCTGTTCCATGGCTGAGCAACCCTCCTTACCCTTCTTTTGAAAATATACCCAAAAACTATGTCAGTGTCTCCTCAGTTCCCTTGTCACCTCAAGGAGCACGTTCTAGAGATTATTCTCTAATTCATCTCTTTCATGTGAAAGCTTTATAAACTACAATAAAAACATGACGTTTATCTGTGCAAGTATGAGGCTAACGTGACCTCGTTTTGTCCCTAGCATATAAAATACAGTTAATTTTCAAAGTTCTTATAATTAAATTAGAGCACTTTCATTTTCATTCAGATAAATGTTATTTCAAGCAACAGTCATCCCTCGGTCCTCCGGGGCATTGTGCAGTTTTGGTACTAATAACCCATGCGAGTTATACCACTAGAGTTTTGTCAATGACCCAATTAAATTATCAAGGGGTGCACAGCAAACTACGTATTATTCTTTAATACCTTGAAACAGTGGCTGTTGAAATGTATTAAAAATATTTGTATCCTCATTTGTTCCAGTTTCATACACAAAATGAATACAGCAGAGTTTAAAAGTGCAACATTCCCCAACGCAGGACCAAGACACCTATTGGACGACAGTGTCATGGAACCTCATGCCCCATCCAGAGGGCAAGCAGAGAGCTCCACCCTTTCGAGTGGAATTTCAATAGGTGAGACATTTTTAAAATGTAGCTGTGCTAGTAAAAATGTGTTTTAGTACAGTTGACTTGAAGGTGTGTACCAGCAGGACTATTATAAAATCGTAATAGCGTTTTAGAACAAAGGTAGGCAGGAATGTGCAGTGGGGGCGGGGGGACTGTGTGTGAAAAGTGGCCGAATAAATGGCATGACCTGAACTAGAGCTGAGAGATTATTAGATGATTGTTTTTAAACCTATTCAGTGATGCATCCAAACAATAATTGTTTTACCACTTTCTTTCCAGATATTTTTCCAAGCAAATCCTTTGTTCAAATCATGCCAAATTAAAACTTTTTGCCTTTTGGCACTGATCATTATTTAAAATGTAATACTGAATTAACAACACAAATTTAAATTGTAGAAAAGAGAACCTCTATCTAGTAAGTTTTCTTACTGGAGAAGGTGGTAATCTTCACATGTTTCAGATAAGCACATACTGAGTGTGCATTAGTAAATTATTGGTGCAGGCTTCACCCATTAAACTACATGAGAAACTTGTCTGTTAATTGTGTGTCTTATAGCTTAATAGAGTATTGCTCATTATTTTGAATTCCAGGTTTTGAAAACAATTTTGGTGGATAAGGGAGTTTGTTTTATCCTTCTACTGGGAGAAATAGCTCCTAGTAGGATATGTAGTGATAAAAAAAAAGATTAAAAACAATAAATATATTCAAAATAAGAGGAGACAGTTGCTTGTTAAAATTTTCTACCAATTTTTGTTTCTAAACTTTCCTGCATCATTTAGGGCTTGTCTACACTACCGCTTAAGTCGATGCAACTTACGTCTCTCAGGTGTGTGAAAAAGGCATCCCCCTGAGCGATGCAAGTTACATCGACCTAAGCGCTGTCCACACGAGCACCAATGCAGCTGCACCGATGTAGCACTGTAGTGAAGACTAATCCTTAGACTCTTTTTCCCTCCTCCTACTATCCGGGAGCCAGGCTACCCTTTTAAGTAGCATTTTATGCCCCAGCATCTATGTTCAGCTGACCTTCATTGACGACTTCAGGAGTTACAGTTGTTCAGCATCTCTCAGGATTAAGTTTTAGCTATGTAATTCTCAATTTAGCTTATAAAATAAAGGTTGCATTAAAAATCACTGGCACTTCTGTTGCTGTTGAAAGGGAGCTGGCACATTTTGAGAAATTTAAAATGTTCACTTTCCTCTGTCTCTTTCTGCTCCTTTCCCCTGTGTGACTTCTGTTATATTTATTTGTCTGTTTGGTCCACTTGCCCACTCACGCATTTACTATAGTGGGTGGTCACTGATGTGTTTTGCAGGGGGGTTTTTTAGGGGTGAAGTCCTAGATGTGTACCTCTGGGAGTCTATGCTTGAGTGTGAAATCCAAATGGTTCAACCAGTCAATAAGAAACATAGCTTTTGTCCATTAAAATTCAAACAATACTATAATATGTTTATAGTCCATCCAGTCTTGCAGAAATTCTTTTGGGCCCAAATCCATTTCTAATTTCAGACTAATTCCTCTGACCTTTCCTCCTGGAGGAAAGTGGTAAAAATTTTAGAATCATTAGTGTCTGTATATTCCTGCCTTAAACAAAGACAACAGTCTTTACTCCAATGTGTTCCAGTTTCTCAAGTATAACTCCAGTCCTTATCCTTACAGTGGCAGAAGCTGTAATGCTACAGGGTAAGAGAAAGATATTTAACTTCAAATGAACTAATTCAAGAAAGCGTCTCTTTATAAGAACAGTGTCTTTTCAGGTTTAAGTTGAAATAAAAATATGTATCGTAGTATCAACATTTTTATGAATTTTCCTATTAAGTCACACTCCTGAAATACTTGGATTCCAAATGAGATTATATTTTTATAAATAAGTGGTGTGTGTAGATAGGTTACAGTACATACATTGGCTTTCTATTTTTGGGACCCTATCCAGTAGGAGAGAACTCCACAGAACTGCTGTGTGATGCGGCCCCCTGGAGTACACTGTTCAGGTGTTTGGAATCCTTCTAAGTCAGAAGCAAACTGCTTTGGGAAATCAAATCTGGGGCCTAGGAACAGGAAGATAGTCACCTCTGAACATGCAAATAAATGGCTTTCTTTTCTCCTAAACCTCGGTCTCATGCTTGGTATTGCATAAAGCTACATATAAGTTAACTGAGCTTATGGCAAGGGCATAAATTGAGGAAATAACTGAGGGCTGTGAATACACAAGTTTCATTTTTAGGTTGTTACTACAAATCCAGGGCATACAGTCACTATCCAATGTGTTGTGTGTATGTTTTATCTCTCATGGACAGTATAACACATTGTCCTTCTCATTTTGACAGTAGTATTGGGAGCAGTAGATGTATACTACTGGTTGACATTCTCTGTCTTCTTGATGTTGGTACTCTTTATTCTAGATTTTTTTTTTTGTTTTGTTAGGCAACCGTCTGTAATTTAATTGGTGTTCCAACTAAAAAAAAAATTCTAAAACCCATTATGGTGGCCTTGTGATAGGATAGAGCTGAATCACTTTGGGAGCTTGGTCTTTGAGAAGTTGGTGAGTAGCCTTATCCCATAGGATACTTGCATTGGACTGGTGCACTTTTATTAATGATTTTGACAAAGCTGTCAAATATATGCATTAAAATTTACAGATGCCAGAATAGGTAGTGTTAGAACTTAGTGATATAGCGGTCTTATAAACTTAAGTAGAATATGAAATATGATGGACCAAATTTATTGCTGCTGTTAGTCAATGGAGTTACATAAATTATGAATTTGACCCAAGGTAAATCTCTGTAAAATGATGCCCTTGAGTATAAACAGTGTGCAAGATAAGTAAAATTTAAGTAGTCCTGAATTTATTTAAAATATTGTAGGGAAAAGTTCTGATTTTAATAACAGACTCAGCGGGGTAAATTGGCTCCATCCCTAACTTCAGCAGAGCTGTTTAAGTTTACAGCAACTGAGGATCTGGCCTAACAAAGAGGATCCCCAAAGAAAAATTGGGCTTGTCCTTTTTTTCTTCATGATATCTAAAGAAGGCTGAAATGTTTTTCCTGAGAAAGAGATCTCTTTCCACTTGTGTTTTAGGTTAAAAATTCAAGTGCCCTCTAGGCTAGAGATGGTCTATGGTGATTGGAGCACTAGAATAATGATGACATCATAGGAGTCAAAAAAGGGAGGAAATTTTAGTCTGAATATTTTTTTTTAAACTGTCGGGTTTGTTTTGTTTTTATTAATACTCACTTAACTTATATGATGAACATCTGGATATAGAAAGCCTATATTAAAGATTCAGCACCCTCATACTTTCAGTCAAGGTATTAGAGCTCACAGTAAACAACCCTGAGATCTCTGAGGTTATCCAGCCAAATCAGTGAACACCAAACTTGCCATTCCTGATATTTCGAAGGTTGAAAACCTTTCAGGCCTTCTTTCTGCATTACAAAGTAGCAAATAAGTACAGAAGCCCATTTTTTTAAAAGCCTGCACAAGTCAAATTTAAATTCTGAGCCTAGTAGTTATTAGCAGTAAAAAAAGCTAATGGGATGTTGACTAGTATCAAGCACAGTATGTTGCATAGATGCAAGGATGTTTAAAGATTTTTCAGATGAAGTATTTGAAGAAGCTAACAATAGTTATAAAATTTTGCCAGAAGGATCCATTTGAGGCCATTGGAAAGACCAAATATTGAGGACACACAAAAGAAGAATTTAAGAAGATGGTATTTTACAGGAAGTATTGAATGGGTGAAGTGAGGTTTCCAGTTGAGTTGATAGAGTAAAATAGTGTATTTAGGGTATTTAAAGAAAACTTGGCTAGCTATATAAAGTTTAATAAGTTAAAGTGAGTTTCAGTTTTGTAGCTGAGCTCCTTTTGAGCAGGGTGAAAAGGAGTGCAGATCTGAGATAAATATTTCCTGCTTATGCTTTTTTTCTCGATTTTTGGGCATTTTATTTTTTTTGAGCGGGGAGAGGAGGTTGGTTTTCTGGGGAAGTAGCCACAGCTGGGCTATGCCCCAATCAGGCCACAGCTGGCCTGTATAAAAAGGCTGGGAGCCAGGAGCTCAGAAGTCTCTCTCTGCACTCAGAGAGAGAAGGGCCTGGCTGCAGGGAGCTAAGACAGAGTACCTGGGTGGAGCGGGGCTGGGGAAAGGCTGAGGAGCTGGGGAGCTCCAGCCTGGATAGCCCCAGGCTGTGGCCTAGTAGGAGGCCAAGGGGTACTGAGGATTGCAGAGGGCAGTCCATGGGTAGGCCAAGGCAGCAGGTCCAAACCCAACCTTACCTGTGATGAGTGGCCTATACTGCAGTCTGCCCCAGGGAGCGGGGGCTAGTTGGTGACTGGCAGTGACCTTATTCTGAGGTGAGGTAGGGATAGTGTGTGGGGGTTCCCCGGGGAGGGGAGACCCTAGTACTGAGGGGTGTACTGCCAGGGGGCAGCACCCTAGATAAAAGGGCACCGGGGTCCGGGAGAGACACGGGGGCCAGAGTACAGACGGATCACCGGCCTGCAGGGGGTGCTCCAGGACGCTGGAAGAGCTAATTCCCAGAAGAGACCAGCAGGAGGCGCCACAGGGGTGAGTCCGCCCCTCTACACATCCGCTATGACTTCCACTCCAAAGCTCCCTCCTTCCACCAGAGGGCACTGCTGTGAAGTCACCTAAAGTGGAGCACCCACAGGGACATCACTCAAAGAAGAAGAGAACGTTACTCACCTCATGCATTAACGGAGGTTCTTTGAAATGTGTGTCCCTGTGGGTGCTCCACTAGCCTCCCTCCTCCCCTCTATCTGCACAGCTCCAATTGTAGGGTCAGTTCCAAAGATAAGACAAGACAAGTAAGGATAACAAACGAGAGGGAGGTTTAGGGGTAACAGTGACAGGCACATGTAGTTATATAGACTAGTTAAATGTACAATTTGATGGCATGAGTCTTTAATATATAAATATGAGATATTAATTATACCAAAAATTTCTGCTGGCTACCTGCCTATACGTTATTATTTAGTAACTAACTG